GTGGTCACATATTGTTTTAGTTTCTGCTTATCATGGAAGACTTTTATTGCTCCATCTATTTTGAATGATAGCTTTGCTGGGTAGAGTATCCTGGGGTTGAAGTTATTTTCATTCAGTGCCCGGAAGATCTCACCCCACGCTCTTCTTGCTTTTAATGTTTCTGTTGAGAAGTCTGCTGTGATTTTGATGGGTTTACCTTTGTATGTTACTTGTTTTTTCTCTCTTACAGCCTTCAATATTCTTTCCTTAGTTTCTGAACTTGTTGTTTTAATGATGATATGTCGTGGAGTAGTTCTATTTTGATCTGGTCTGTTTGGTGTCCTGGAGGCCTCTTGCATTTTGTATGGGAATATCTTTCTCTAGATTTGGGAAATTTTCCGTTATTATTTAGTTGAATATATTACGCATTCCCTTCACTTGCACCTCTTCTCCTTCTTCGATGCCCATGATTCTCAAGTTTGGTCTTTTGATGGAGTCGGTGAGTTCTTGCATTTTCTTTTCACAGGTCTTGAGTTGTTTAATTAATAGTTCTTCGGTTTTTCCTTTAATTACCATTTCATCTTCAAGTTCTGAGATTCTGTCTTCTGTTTGTTCTATTCTGCTGGATTGGCCTTCCGTTTTGTTTTGCAGTTCTGTTTTGTTCTTTTTTCTGAGGTTTTCCATATCCTGGCAGTTTTCTTCTTTAATGTTGTCTATTTTTGTCCTGAGTTCATTTATCCGTTTATTCATTGTGCTCTCTTTCACTTTGGTGTTTATACAGTGCTTCTATGGTTTCCTTTATTTCTTCTTTTGCTTTTTCAAATTCTTTATTTTTATTGTCTTGGAATTTCTTGAGTGTCTCCTGTACATTTTGGTTGACCCTATCCAGTATCATCTCTATAAAATTCTCATTGAGTACTTGTAGTATGTCTTCTTTTAAATTATTCTTGTGGGCTTCATTGGGTCCTTTGGCATAGTTTATCTTCATTTTGTTGGAGTCTGGATCTGAGTTTCTGTTCTCTTCATTCCCCTCTGGTTCCTGTACTAATTTTTTGCTGTGGGGAAACTGGTTTCCCTGTTTTTTCTGTCTTCCTGTCATTGTCCTTGGTGTTGTTACTGTCCCTGTACTGTGTGCAATTAAGTATTTTCTAGCTTGTAATAATAACAATGGTAATATTTAGAATGGAAGAGTGAGCTGAGATGGAAAGCAAGAAGTTAAAGAAAAGGGGAAAACAAATATACAGACAAGAGGGAGAAAGCAGAACAAGGTATCAGACAAGAGAGTTTCAAAGGTATAAACAGGGAGTGTTAGTGTACTAATCGACAGTAAGCTGAACAGACATTAGAGAGACAGAGAGAGGATTGAAAATCAAAGATAAAAAAAATAAAAAATAAGTAAATGAAAGTAATATCTATATATAAAAATGAATTAAAATAAAATGGAAAATAGAAAATTAAAAAAAAAAAAACCAAAAAACTTCCAAGTTTATATGCAATGCAGTTTCAGTCTTAATAATTTGGGTGTCTGTCTCAATCTCCAGTCCTGGAGTTGGTGCCTCAGATGTTGTTCTGTAGTTGTCTCATCAAAGGGGATGCATAAAGTAGAACAAAACTACACACTCACAAACACACACACACACAAAAGCCCCACCAAGTGTCCCCAGTTCAAATGCAATACAGTTTCAGTAAGTTTTTCGGCTTGCAGGTGTAATTCGGTTGTTCTCTCCTCAAAGGTAGGGAGAAAAAGAAAAAAAAGCATCTGGAGACAGTTCTGAGAGTGGTATCTGCAACTGTGGCTTGCCTGCCTGCTGCTCTCAGCCTGTAGCTGGCGGCATTATTTATGCAGATCTCAGGGGTGAGCTTAGCTCTCACCTGGTCCCACAGGCTTTGTTTGCTCAGAGTTCTCCTGTGCGGGAGCCTCTGCTACAGGCTTTCCCCTTTCCAAGCACTGGGAAAGGCGACACTGCACCCGCGTTGTCAGGCCTGCGTGTTTATTTACAGTTCTTGTGGGAGGTGGGTCTTCCCCCCTCTCCTCTGAAGTTTTCCTCCCACTGCCACTTTCAGCAGCTTTCCTGCTCCTGCTTACTGGGTGGTGCTGCTGCTCCTGCCAGCCGCCATGTTTATTTACAGCTCACGTGGGAAGTGGGTCTTCCCTCCTCTCCTGTGGAGTTTTCCTCCCTCCGCCACTCTCACAAGCTTTCCCGCTCCTGGTTGCTGGGTGTGCGCCCAGCTCCCACCAGAGGCTCTCCGGCCCGCCCGGCTTGTTTATTTACAGTCCTGGGAAGGATTCCCTTCCCCCAATCTTCAGCACTCAGGGCGCCCCACCCTCTTTCCAGTGTGTCTTAACTGTTCTTATTGCTTAGTACTCAGTTTCTCTTTTTTTCCCGGGTGGAGGTCAGTCTGTCCAGGGGGCTATTCTGCTCTGGCCCAGGCTTGTCTGTGGGGCTACCACGGTACTATGAAGCTCACCTGGTCTGCGTCTTCCCAAGCCCTATGGGCGCCGGCCACTGGCGGCCCGGGGGCCCTCCTTGTTTCTCCGTTTAACGTGAAGTGGAGATTCTCTGCACCAGCTGGAGATGTGGAGGGGTCAAAGTTATGCCTTTTCTCGGTGATTATGCCTACAAAGTGTGTCTCCAGCCTCTCTCCAAGATTTCACTATAGGAGGGTCGCTTTCTGCTTCCTACCTCTAGCCGCCATCTTGGAATCCTCTCATCTTCATTCTTTACTGACTGTCTTCAGGACAGGGACTTTAACCAGTTTGTTTAGGGCTCCTGGGGATTTTCCAGACCTTTTCTATGGATGTGACCATCCATTCCTCTTCTTCCCTCTTGGAAAAGAGAGGAATCTTAAGACTGTATATAACTTTTCTTGATACTGCAAAGCCAGACTAGGTGTTGAGAGTCTCTTTTCTATTTTCCCTAGGACAGTGGTCAGGAAATTGGTGATTTAGCAAAGTTGAGCCAGCAGCCTGTATGTGCTGAGGTACAATGTAGGTGCATAGAAGAAATGCTGGGCATTCTAGTAAAAGATTCCAGATTCTTTATGATCCCATGCTGTAGCTAATACATGGACATGGGTTTATTGAATGAAGTGTTTCTCAAAGTGTAATCCTTGGTTCAACTCTACTAGAGTCTTTTATGGGTGTTTGCTAAAATTATAGATTTCATGATCCCACCTCAAGAGGTTTGCCCAGAAACCTGTATTATTAAGTTTGTCTTATCTCAGGTTCTTCCACAGACTCTGAAATGAAGTTGGGTGTTAGGAAGTTTGTTGGAGATTGGTCTAAGGAGCAAGGTCAGCTGAATTGGGTATTGTACTAGATACCTTTGCCAGTCCTAAAGGGAATTCTGCCTTCAACTGAGGCAAGGAGATAGGGACTTTGAGTTCTTTCATTGAGCAGTTATTACCTATGGGTTCAGGAGGGGTTATGACCCTGGGTGAGCCAGTTTCCTTTAACTAAAGATAATTATAATTATCCACATAAACAACTATCACTGGTAACACTGGAGGGATGAGAGCTTCAGGTCACAGCAACCGTTACAGCCCATCCTTTGCACTAGTTTGGCGTCCTTGTCAAGCCAGCAAGTCTATCCTTTTTGGTAAAACCTGTCCTAGGATTATGATTGGCGTATTTTCTGTTAGAAATTGATAAGAGAAAGGTTATTAAAGTGAATTACAGTCCCACTTACTGCAACTGCTCTTTTTTTTTTTTCAACTTACCAAACAGTTTAATGTCAATTCTTTCATCTCCCAATGGAAAAGCAATGATCACGACAGAAGGCTGGCTTTACATCTTAAGCATGGACTTTTACAAATGTGAACTTGCTGTTCTTTGGGTTTATGACTCTGCAAATTGATGAACTGAATTTTACAGTGTTAGTTTAATTTGGTCCTGAAAACATTTGAGTATTATCCCTTTTGCATTAATTCACCCTTTACTAACCATCTTTTAAGCTCTTTGAAAAACACTGCTATATGTCAAATCTTTGAAATCCGTTATCCACTTGTTATTTAATTCTAAAACATTTGACACTTCTTGCCTTAACAATTAAAGACTACACACAAAAAACTCCATAATTAATGCAGTAGGCCAAGTATCGTCCTTTTCTGCAATGTACCCATCTGATCTCTGTAATTATATAGTTCTGTCATTTAAAATATACTACTAAAATATAATTTTTACATTTCAAAAATTATCTCCAGTAGTAACTATACTTTCTGTGGAGTTATTTCTGAGAATGTTATTTTTTTCAGAATGCAGGAATATATATGTGTGTATTTATAATGTGAGTTTAAAGTCTCTTTTCTGATACTTTATGTATATATTTGTAAAAACTTTTGTATAATTTTATAATGTAGTCCCCAAAAAATTTACTTAAAAAGTATGTTAATAGTAAATGAAAGCATTTAAGGAACTGTTCATGTTTTTTGCACCTCTTATTCCACCTGTTTTCATACTACACTTACATGGCATTCCTCCAACAGCAGGCAAGGGACCTGAGAACCATTTACCAAAGTAGCAGTCATAAACTCATTTAAAAATTAAAAAGCAGATTTGAATGACTACATTAAGCTGCCCCAGTACTTTTAGACACACCTTTTTTTAAGGTTGGATTATAAACATGTATCATCTTTGGGAAAAGTTTAAGTGCGAATTCAACTTCAGAGCACTGGCCTCACTATAGTAAACTTCAGTACTGTCACAACGATGTCACATTTTACATACTGATTCTTAAACAGCAGTGTACAAACATGCCTCAAATGTTTTAATAGAATTTAGCTTTTCCTTAAATTGTCTTTTCATAGTAACAAAACAGGAACAACAACAACAAAACCCAATGTTAAAACCACTTAATAAACTTACAAACTTGAAAAATTAGACACTTCAGATAGGCAACAAACTTCATATTCTGAAAGCAATATATTCCACATTTCAAAGATATGACAAGTCTGTAGAATTTCTTTCATTGGTAGATGGAAGCCTTCAAACTGCATGATCTTCTGCCAGGTAAGACTGCATGTCATTCACTGGTTTGTGGCCGAATCCACTTCAAGGCATGTCTTGGAGGTACAGTAATGGTGGGATGATAAAATGTGCAGTCAGATCTGATGCACTGAGCGTTAAATCTACAGTGTTTTGGGTGACAGAAGGGACATTCCATTTTCTTACAAGCTGGGAAGTAGCTGCAGAGCTGACCATTAGTGGATGGCTGGTGCTGTAACAGCTGGTTTTGAAGGCAATACTGGAATTCTTCTACTCATATGAGTGAAGGGACCATCTGGTTTAGTACACTTAGTGTCGTATTTACAATTTGGATGAACAAACATTTTTCAGCAAATTTACAACTGGGGAAGGCTTTGCAAGGTGCAGTGGGATGATGGTACGCACACTCGTCCCCATTTTTACAAGCAGGCCAGTACTTGCAGCGCTCCAAAAGCTTTTCTGGTTTCTGTGCCATGCTCAATTCAATCATCTCAGTGTTGGTAAAGCTACCATCAGGGTCCTCAAGCTGCCTGCTCATCAACTGCAACTGCTGTGGGTGGAGACCTCTGAGTCCCTTGTTTGAGGGTGCAGTTTGGTTTATGGGTTTCATTCCTTCAAAGCACATGTCCTCCTCTTGATCTGACATGTATCCTGGGGGGCTGGGGACACCATCCAGCGTCACTATAAACTTGGGACTTGCAGGTTTATCTGGTTGTACAAGATCTCGTGTCTGTATAAGGTGTCCTGAAAGAACCCGAAGGGTATCTGCAGTCTTCATCCCTGACTCTTGGTTTGGTGCCACTACTATTTCCTCAGACAGCTTTGGCTTCTTCAGAATAAATGATCTTGTGTCTGCATGGACCATGGATTCCATGTCATAGTAATCTTGACTCATCTCCAGTGTTTCTGCCATTACTGGGTCAATTTGCAGTCGGGATAACAATTGCTTCTGTTGAGTTCCTTGATTTTTTTCTATATTATCTCCTTTTGTTTCCTCTTCTTTCATGGGGAAACTTATTCTGGGGGCCCTGCTTTGCACCTGAACCACTTCTGCTAGCAATTCTTCTTGAGAAGTTCGAGTTCTGGGAGCAACTGGAAGTGTCTGTTTCTGCGGGACTGCAGAATAATTAGTTGTTCTTGTTACAGATTCTTGAGCTTCAGAAATAGTCTTCAAAATTAGATTCTTGTTAGCTTGTTTAGAAGGTGGAAGAGAAGCTTTCCTTTCAGGTTTTGCTGGCACTGACACACTGCTAGACATGCTGCCTGTCGGGAGCCATAGTCATCATCGCCTTCTTCTTCTTCTCCATCATGATTGAATTTTTTTACTTTAACAACTGAACTTGCCACAGGCAACTTTCTCTTCCGAAAGTTTTCATCCTCAATATTCATGTTTTTTTCCATGTTGTTTCTGAAAAAGGGACTGTAAGTCTCTTCTAAGCTCTTAAGCATTTCTGGTTCACACAAACGTCCTGTTTCATACACTTGACTGTTCTGTATATCAAGCTGCTTGGCAGCATGAATACTGTTTTGCTGCTGCTGAAATTGCAACCTATTTAAAGGAGTACCACTATCTGCATTTCTACTTGCAGGTGGTTGGTAAATTTCAATAGAAGGACGAGAAGAACCGCAGGCAAGTGTCACTGTAGGTTTTTTCTGAGATAAGGGATTCCCCTGCACAAAATTGAGATCTTCATCAATGAGATCATCTGGTTCTGGCTTAATGTCAATCACATCTTCAGAGAGTGCTGGCTCCCTCAGAGGTTTCACTGTTGACACTAGTCAGGTTGCAGCTCCATCATCGTAAGTCTGTCTGCTGACATTAGTGGTTTTCTGTTCCTGTGAACTTATAGAAACTCTGGAATCTCTTTTGTCAGCTCTCGTACTAGAAATGGCAAGGGGAGGCGCTGCAGCTTCATGCTTTCTCTCATCTCCCCGACTAAAACTGCTCTTGCTTGAAGGCACATTACTATCAAATATGTTGGTATCAGAAGACTTGAGACTAGAGGGTTCAGTTGTAACAGAGCGAAGTTTATCTAACACACCATGAAGCCATACGGTGAATCGAATTGTGTTGTTCCCTACAAACAGGGACAGGTCCTCTGTCATTTGGTCCTGACTTTTCTTGTTGGCCACCATCACTGTAATGTAATCAGGCAGTTCTTCATCCATGTAAGCTCCTAATTCTTGCAACTTCCCCTTAGTGGCACTCCGAATCTTGCGGCTGATCTCGGTGCCAATCCCCATGGCTCAGTGGCGGGTGGCGGAGTCAGCGCTCTGCAACTGCTCTTGAGAGTGGAGTCTTCTTGTCTTGCTAGTGTTTTTGTGAGTCTAGGAGGATCTCTTGGTGGGGTAACTAAACCCCGCAGTCTTAAAGGGTATGGATCTTTTGTAAATAGCTTTTGTAAATATGCTGTTTTCGGGCTGCAGTTTTTGTACTTAGTCATTTTCTATCAAAACTGAGAAAGAAAGCACCAAGAGACTCCCTGATATATAAACAAGGCTAAGTGTTTTCTTCCCTCCCCTCACTGTGGAATATTAGCCCTACTTCTTCCTGAGGCTCAAACTGACTGCACTGCAGATACAATGTCTCCTCCTTGCCACTTCTTCTCTGGAGAAACTAAAGTAACAGTGTATTAGCCATTGCTTCAAGTTTAATGAGATTTTTACAGTGCCCCGTGTTGGAAGTTTTCCTCTTCTGGGAAACCAGGTCCTAGAGAATTATAGTCATAAAAGTTGTAGAACAGACATGTAGATACTGACTGCCATCCTTTGGTTCTCAGACCTCTGTATTTTATTTACTGGAGAAGCAAAGCCATGCATAGTCAGTTGATATAGGGTGTGTGCTGACCTCTGCAGAGTGGTGCATCTCAGTTCATCACAGTGCAAGCGGTATGGTAGCTGACTGCCCTCTCAGGCTAACGGATTGGGTAGTATGGAAAAAAAGAGCCAGTAGGCTACATTGTTATGTATTCACTGCTATACATGCCTTGCTTCAAAGTAGCCTTTAGCCTGAGGCATTGTGGTCCTGCTGGAAGGGTAAGGACTCAGACCTGGAGTATGGGTCATTTCTATTCAAGATGAATTATTGCTCCTTACAGGGTGAAAGAGCCCCATGTTATCAACTTGCAATCAAGAGGTCAGTTGTCTCCATAAAGAATGGTGCTGTAAGCCAGGGGATCATGCTTATAATCTCAGTTACTCAGGTGGCTGAGACTGGGAGGATACAGGTTCAAGGTTAGCTCAGGCAAAACATTAGTGAGACTCCACATCAACCAGTAAGCTGGGCTCCGTGGTGCATACTTGTCATTCTAGCGAGGCAGGAGGCATAGGTAGGAGGATTGAGGTCTGAGGCTGGCCCCAGGCATAAAGCAGGACTTGATCTGAAAAATAACCTAAAGCCAAGAGCTCAAGCGGAGGAATGATTGCTTAGCTAGCACAAACCCAAACCCCTGAGTTTAAACCCCATTGCTACCACTGCCAAAAAAAAAAAAAAAAAAAGGAAAATATTGGTGCTGTGTGATAGCCTCAGTTTGTCATGGGGTGAGCATTCAGCACTGGCTATAGCTGGATCAGGCCTTGGAAAGGGAATCACATTGCTTGGCTCGGCTGGAGGTCTGCATTGCTTCAGCAGTGGCAGTGGGGTAGCTGACAAGAGACCCTGGTTGGTGTCACCTGGTTAAGCTTTTTCGTCTACCTGGATATTGCCTTTTTCAGGGTAGATGAGCATTATCATGACATACAGTGTTCATAACATGTTTTGTGCCTGTTTTTATAAATTTTATACAAGCTCTTCCTCAGACTTCTTCTCCCTGATCTTCAAATCCTTTTTCTTCCAGGCCTCTGACCAACCAGTGAATCCATGTGCCATGCTCTTAACTTGACAACATTTGTTACAATGAAGAGGCTGGCAAGGCACATCCCCAGTGCCTCCCACTTAGTGAGGTCCCTTCCTGCTGTCTTTAAGGCCATCCCTGAGTGAGGTTGTAACACAGTTGCTGTCCATCTTCAGTTTGTACATGTACACCAAGCAGACCTATTTGTGCACCAGGCTGAGTATTCTTCATTTTTTAGCAGCTAGTCTGGTCACAAAGCTTCTTCTATACCCACCACATAGCAGGGTGAGCTGACTGAGAGGCACAAAAACAGCCATGGAACATGACATGGAAGTCTTGGCTACTGGTTTGTGCAGTTTACTTGCTTCCCCTGGTCTTATTCATGCCAGCTATGAATGAACTGTTCCCTCCAATAGTATGTTACTATGTCATTCACCTAAAGCTTGGTGACTCTGACTATGTATGACTTATCACAGGCATCTCTAGCAGCACAGTCTCTTAATTTTTAGGGTCCAGTAACATGCCAGATGTTATTGAAAGGTGTGTTAGCCACCCTCATGTTACTATAACAAATACCTGAGACAATTTATAAAGAGAAAAGGTTTATTGTGGCTCACAGTTTTAGAGGTTCCAGTATCTGATCTGGAAGACCCATTGATTCTAGGCTTCTGGAGTTGGCATTTGATAGTAAAAGCACGTACCTCAAATTTGAGAATCAAGAGAGAGAAAGAGAGAGGAAGATAAAAAGGCTGCCCAATGTCCTTTGGGAAATTTCCCCAAAGACTTCCCACTAGGCCTCACCTCTTAGAGTTCCATCACCTCTCAGGAGCACTGAGCTGGGACCCAAGGCTTAGCACATGGGCCTTTGGGATGGGGGACAGTCCTGATCCAAACACGGCAAAAGGCAGGTTATATATTTCTGCAGATGAGTTGGCCTTGTATTGGATCCCCACGTGATCTATACTGTGATTCTTCTATTGGATCTTGCATAAGCCTTATCCAGCATATTTTTCTGTTACAGATGCCTCTAGTGCCAAGGGAGCTGACATAAGTTGTGTCCTAAATAGCAAGACTGTTTTCAGCCAGGACCTGATGCAGAACCATTTATGGCTCTGAGCCCAGTTCAAAACTCCGTGCTTCTGTGTCACTTGGTAAACAGATCAGAGCAGTATTCCCAAATGTGAGCTGTGCTGTTGACTACAGAACATACAGAGGCCTCTGGATAGCCAGGCCTTGGTGCATCTGCCTGAGTGGGAGTTCTGAGAGCTATTCTTTCTTTTTTCTTGAATGGATGACCCAGCTTGCCCTAGACCACTGGATCCCTGAGAACTTCATGTTTCTCATGAAACCTAAATCTTTATAGAGTTTCATCTTCCTTTCCTCTGAAATAAACGCTTCTCTACAGGACCTCTATTGTTCTTGACACTTCTTGCTTGGTAATTCTGATCCAATTACCATGATCTCATGGGTATTACATACCAATGACAATGTTCTGTGGAAGGTTCCAGGTCACTTTCAAGGTTCTGGCAGAGGGTGGAAGGGTTAACACAGCCCTGAGCGAGCCACAATGTATGCTGTAGTAATCTCCGGAGTGTGAGAGTGCTTTTGATCTTCCCTTTTTACAGGGCTGGCGAATAGTGGCACATGCCAAATCGAGAATGGCACACAGTGTTGCTGGGCCTGCGCTGATTGGCTACGGTAGAAATTCCCATGTGGCAACACAGCTGCAATTGGGACTGCTACTTGTAGAGACTGCATTAGGTTACTGTCATTTCCTGGCACCCAAGGATGTGACCTTGAGTCAGGCAGCTCCCTCTGACTGAAAGAATAGCTTGAAAGGGACTCATCGCTGAGTCATCATCAGTCTATACCCTGAGAAGCTGGGAGAAGGAGTATATGGTCCTGAAAGTGGGGTCTGGCGACATGCCACAGTGTGCACCACAAACGGCTCTTTTAGTGATTATTACCACAGTGGAGTTTGAAAACTCTCCTGTATGCCTCAGCTGTGAATTTAAAATCCATCTCCAGTTTTGCCTTATATTCCCTCTTTTGCTTATTTTAGTCATTACTTTGTATTTTTTGAAAAGAATTAAATTGCCTTTTTAGCACTATTTCCCTTTTGTCAAGCTAGTCGCATTTTTTGTTTACTAGAATTGTCCTTGGGATAAAAAATGAGTAAAGTTAAAATAGACAAACTTTCATTTCATACTTTAGAAGAGTCTTAATGACCTTTACCCTTGACATCCCACATTCATGCTTACACACATACACACACATGGAAATATACATCTGTGTAGGAACGCTCGTGTAAAGCAGCTCACTAGATTTACACTGCACTGTTTTTGCACCATTTCTAGTGCAGCTAAAGCAAAGTGAGAAGATTTGGAAGTGGAGGACCTTTTCATGACCTCCAGCAGCTGTCACTAGTGTCATGGAGCAGATTCTGTTCTTACCTGCTAGACCTTATGGAAGGGTGACCATGCCCAGTACAGTGGATACTAGAACATCCAGTGGGCCAGCTATGTTGAAGTCACGTGGGCACTCCCCCAGCTCTACATTAATTTTTTTCTCAGTAAAAACAGCTTTTCAGAAGGCAAGTAAGCAAACAAAAACAGCAATGAAAGATCTTATTTGGAATTAGCTGTGAGTCATTCAACTTATGTATAAAAATAACCAACTTTTACATTTTAACTATTTTTGCCATCTTTTTAATCAGTTGTAACATGTTAATTGGGACATAAAATACAACCAATCATGACATGCCAAAGTAAGATTAACCCTGCAGTTGGAAACAATTGCTTTAGTGAAAAATTTTCAAATTTGGTTAAGAATTTGAAAATCATCAAAATCATCCAAAGTACTGAAATAATCTTGATTCCATGTTCCCTCCTTCTTCATGAAATCAAGGTACAGAATCATTCTTTCATGCTCCAAATTTCCTGACTATCCTCTGTAGTCAATTCCTCCCCATCTGCTCAGATCCTGGCAAACACTGGTTTATTGTATGAACCTATAGTTTTGATTCTTCCAGAATATCATATAAAAGAAATCGTAAATCCACAGGACTTAGAGTCTGATTTCTTTCACTTAACACAATGCATTTGAAATTCAACCATGTTGTTACACATATCAGCAATCCATTCCTTTTTCTTCCCTGATAGGGATGTACAATAGTTTTTATCTGTTTACTAGTTGAAGGTTGCTAGGACTGTATTTAGCCTTTGAAGATCATGAGTAAAACTGCTATGAACATTTTGTGGACCAAAGTTTTTATTTCCTTGGATTAGTACCTAGGGATGGAGTTGCTGAGTTACATGGTAAGGGTATTATTAATTTTATTAAAATGGTACAGCTATTTTTCAAAGTATCTTTGCCCTAGCTCTAGCAATATTTGAGAGTTCTAGTTTCCTG